TGTTAGAAGAATGCTATTCTGTTGGTTGAGTGCTACATGATCTAGAAATTTGTTTTGCTCTTTTCTTGAGAAATTTTATTATTTTTTATTGCAACTCTATTGTCAACCATAGTGAAAATTGATAATAATTACTATTCTGAGGTATAAATAGGTTGCAAAGATCAAATCTTCTCTTTTCAAATCATGAACAACCTTTTGGATTCTACGAGTAATCTTTTTGCCTAATATTTGGCAAACACTCCACCATATGTACATTCTCAATGCTGGACCTGGCTTGAAGAAGGTCCATTTGCCTGCCGCTCAAAACTTTTTCGGTGCAAAAACTCTTGCAAATATACATGTAAATGATATGAAGTGCACTTTAACATTTGTCTTTCTTTCCTATTTATTTCTTATTGCAGCTTCAACTGATTTGTTCTAGCAATCTATTTACAGGTTTTGGGCACTAACTCTTTGGGGTGACTGCTTTAAGTCATTGACCCCAAGGTTGAATTCTCTTTTATATTTTCCTTTTAAGTGTTCTAGAAATATGATCATTTAATCTTTGGTCATTTTCTCCCAGTTCACTAGCAGGCTTTTTTAGTAGATGATACAAAAAACCAATAGATGGAGCAGAAATGACAATAGAAGAATTATTCACTTTGTCTCAGCATACTTCTGTAAGTTCCATCCTGGTTCATTCGTCTTAATTTGTAGACATTGCATCCTATCCTTTTGCAATTTCATTGCTATCTATTTTCATGTTTCAATGCATACTTTATTATTTAATGGGTAGAATATTTCTTGCTCCTGTAAAGCTACAATTTTTATGTCAAATATTTCTATTATCATGTACCACCATGTTGTAGACACACGTGATGGGGCTTAAATTCTAATTTTTTTGTGTCTTCTTTATGCAGTAGTATCAGCTTTTGAACTAATAACCTTGTTAGATACAGCATTAGTGAAACACATAATGCATCTGACCTCCGGTAGAGGGAAGGAATGTGTTCTTTCATTCATTTTTTTTTTATGGAGAAGGGGGTTGGTGGTTTGGGTAGCAAATTTATTTTTGATAAATAGTTAAGAACCGAGTACTGCTTTGTTTAGGGTATATCTGCCACGTTTCCCCTTTACATGGCTTGTTAGTATGCTTACTATTGTGCAAGTTAGAAATTGTTGCTATTTTGTTGACCACTTGAATGATGATATGTCTGCTACGATTTCGTTATATCTAAACTGGATGTAAAGTAATTCTACCATAAATTTAATCATGGATGATTCACGATACAAAAACTTTCATCAATAAAAGAAAACATGTTGTCACAAAAATATAGAAATTTCCAAAACTATCTCATGAAATGAGACATATTGATTAGACATAGTCATCTAAACATCACTGGTGAAAGATCTGATGGGCAAGTCCTTTCAACAAATTTTAAGGTGGACTTTTATAGTATTTGCGATAATGCAATGAACCAAATGATCAGACTTCGCCAAACACTTCAAATCTTCACAAGTTTTGAAAAATCTACAATTTTGACGCTAATAAAAGTACAATAAATACAAAACTCGTGCAACGCACGTGACAACTACTAGTAATCATAAGAATGGAACTATACTCGTTAAGAGTCCTTATTTTCCTTGATAAGCTAAGTAGTGATTGGGTTTTAATACGTGTAAGAAATTAAGAATAGGTAGGATGTATGATTGCGCGTAATATAGTTGCATTTATTAGATTTCATTCTATTTGGTAATTGGGAGAAGTTGGAATCTTGGGATTTCCTTGATTCTTTCTTGGTGGGGGTTTGAAGAAATTCTTATCTTCTCAAAATATTTGGTCCTTTGGCGCACAAGTTCGAAGCAATCTAGGTGGATATGAGAGTGTTGTCATCTTTATTTTTCGCTGATTTTTGTGGTTTGTGGGTTCGTTTTCTAAAGATTTGACAGTGAGGTGGTTGTAATTTTTTGGAAAAATATCACAATTTCAGAAAGGGCTTCAATTTGATACCATTTGTAAGTAATTTTTCCTGGTTAATCTATTAATTAGCTGAGTTTACTTAATATTATAGGATTTGATTGAAGTTATGGCATCTAGTTTTGATGATATATTGCTGGTTATCAAAACCAGAGAATGAGAGGTTTTGGGAAAATGAATTTTACCTGAGTTGTCCACACAGGTTAGGGGCTGTTTATAATAAGATTGAGTTACCAACTGAAATCACCCTGAGCCTTGAAATATAATGAAACTTCTTCTGCATAAACATTTGAGCAATCTCATGCCTGTACCTACAACTTTCGATTACAATTGAGTATGTGATCTACGATCTGTACCATCGATAAGCTTAAGATGCCCTACAACGTGGCGACGAAGGCAAGCTTGCTTACAAGTGCGTCAATGAAATCTCACATATGTTTTTTGACTTTGTATATAATTACAATATGTTTTTTCTCATTGGATACAAAACGCCCACGCTTTATGCCTAATTGCATGACCCAACTTGCAGTAGTCCTGAAGTGATTTCTTAAAATATTCCACAGGCGTCCTTTTTTTTCCTTGACCCAAAAGCAAAACCCAAGATCAGGAGGAGGTGAAAATGGATATGGAGACCCTGGAGAAGAGACCTGGATTTATCATGGTTGGATCCCAGAGCGTTGGTGAACGGACCCCTCCTTTCCCGCAAGTTGCTCTCTAGGTTGGTTTCTTCATTGATTTATTTGATCATTTTAACTCACCGATGTACTTAAATGATTGATTTAAGTAAGAAACACGGCACATTCGAAGAATATAAAACCCTTTGGTAATTGGATTTTGAAGTTAATGAATAATCACCAGCAGTTAAGTCGATGAATCATTAAAAAGGATTTTGGATGATGTGAATGAACAAACAAGTAGATGCAGCAGCGAGGAGAACAAAATATGATGAAACGTCGTAGGGGTGCATTGAAGCAGGAGAACGTGTGAAGAAATGTTGAGATTTTAGGCCCATAGCCGTAGATGAATTCTTACTGAAATTGTTAAGGAGAACAGATAAAAGTTTAAAGATTAGTGCACATTAAGTTTCAACTGGAGGAAAATTCAATATGCTTTGTTGGTAAAAGGCATGTTAACTAATGAAAACTATTAATATAATCTAGACATAGAAAGTACTATACAGCTGATGTTTCAGTTTGGATGGCTTATCTTCACGATGAGTTCTCCATCTCGAGCCTGCCAATGGCTGATAAGCTATCTGCCTTGGTGATAGTGTTCAATGTTAATGATGTAAGCCTTGTCCTTTTGCTTCCTGTTTTGTGAAAATTAATGGTGAAACTTCTCTCTCTTTTCTGCAACTGTTACTTTGATGCGCAAGATGATGTACCACTATAATAACATTGAGTATAGTGACATGTCTTTCATGCCATGGACTTCAGCTCTCTTCTTTTGCTGCTCTTAAAAAATGGGTGAAGCAAACTGATATTCAGAAATTTGATATACTGCTATGCATTGGTAACAAAGTGGATCTTCTTCCTCGTCATCCAGCTCACACTGAATGCAGGAGATGCCTGCTGAAGCGTGAAGAATCCTCTGGTAGTTCTAGTCTAGACAACTATGGGATTTCTGAAACTGAAGGGAGTAGTTTATAGGGAGATGAAGAACCATCATCGGAGATTATGAAGTCTTGCTTGGAATGGTGCATTGAACACAACATTAAATACATTGAAGCATGTGCATCTAATGCTGATTTTGTAAGTGTTATACCCTAGATCCAATCAACTTTGGATATAAACACTCTTAATATATATATATATATATATATTCAATTAAATTAAATAATAGAGTCCATAGATTCAAATTTTAGTAATTTGTTAATCAAAAGGAGTTATGATTGTGAGATACATATTACATATGACTGAATCTTAAATAATTTGTAGTCGTAAGTAATAACGAGATACGGATATTGTTATTACAGATAGACTATCACGTGTAGCATTTCTTTGAGTGATTTGGTTCATCTTTCCGTCCCTATTTCAAACTTGTCTTCTTTTTTATGTGTAATCTTTAGATAAGGTTGCATCTTGATATTTTGTAGTGTTACATATGCTTGCAATGAAAGCATCTCTAACTATATTCACATTTCTGTATATACACATATTTTTTCAAAGCGCATGTTAGGTGAAATGGCAATCATTTTATCTATCTTAGAGCATTTTCAAAAAACTCTTTATGTATAAACATCTTATGTATTATAGAGAGCATCATTAAATTTGGAGAGTTCCAAAAATGCTCTCTATTTCGGCTCTTTATTTTTCTTTTTTCAAGAAACATTTAATGATTTCTCCTCATCTTTTATTTTAACATTTTTTTTCATATATCAATGGCGCAATTCAAATATAATTTGTATCATTTAAGAAGTAGAGTATTAAAATCTATAACTTATTACGACCCTGTTTGAGAGAAATTTCGTGTTTCATTTTTATAAAGAATATGACAGTTTGGTTTTTATTTTATTGTACCAATTTTCCAACTTCCTGACACTTCACTGCAAAAAGTAAATAGTAAGATTCTCTAGGCCTCATTTACATTTTTACCCCTAACTCTCACGTGTGTAAGTCAAAGGTGCCAAAAAGTATTCCTACAATTGTCGGTTGTGGAGGGTAATATTGTCAAGTAATTGGACAATTGAAAAAGCACCTATATCAAAAATCATGTTGCAAACAGACTTTTGTCAGAGACATTTGAATTGGATACACGCTAACTGTGCAACGGACGGAATTCTTCTAAAAATGAGAATGAAATTTCCTCCAAACAGGCCCTACATTTATTCATTATAAACTAACAAAACTCATTCTCTATTTTTAAGAGTCAAAATATAGTTTTTTTAAGCTTATTTTTAAGTGTCGACTCTCTAAAGTAGAGAGCATCTTATATTTAAAGAGTCACTTGAAAATGTTTTTATACACTTCTGTTAGAGATGGTTAATATTTTGTTGACTTTTCATTGCAGGTCAATCCGTAGATGGTGATTCACAGGGTGTTGAATGGGATTCTCTCTGCTCACGTGGCATGGAATGTCCTTGAAGTCTGGCGATAAAATAAATGAGGTTTTACAATCTACCCTTGTCATGGTCATGCAATAAATATTTATTTAATTCAAATGGTTAAAGGGGTATTCCAAAAACTGAATATTTTGACTACTTTTTTGTCAGATTTATCAAGAAGAACCTAAGTGTGAACTTGAATATGAAGTCTCGTCCGCAGAACCATGGGACGACACAGATGGATGGATGTCTGCAGATGAACCTGTTTCAACCACAAGGACTGGGGAACCATCTGCAAGCTATATTGGATTTGTAATGACAAGATTCTGATATTGAACAATTGAGATGAGGCTGAAAATATATTCATTCAACCATATAAAATTGTACAGTGAAGGTTCTATAAATACAGAGAAATAGAATCATTTTCTAACTAACTTCCTAACTAATTTACATGAAAAATAAATGCAAAACTGATTCAATACAACTATGCAAAACCAATCCAACTAATTCTTTTCTAGATCCTTTGGATGTGGCTGCTCTACCATTGGTTCTCATTGGCTTCCTTGCTGCTAGTAGTCCTCTAGCTGGTTCAGCTGATGCACACCTGGTAGCTTCAATAGCCCCCTGCAAGATGGAGAGTAGATGTTCATTACTCCCATCTTAGATAAGCAAGAGTAAAAGGTTTGAGAATTCAGAGACTTAGTAAAGATATTTGTGATGTACTAGGAACATGTTGAGTAATACTACCATCTTGTATCTTATCTCGAACCAAATGGCAATCAAGATCAATGTGTTTTGTTCTCTCATGAAACACCGAATTTGTAGTTATGTGAATGACGGCTTTATTGTTACAATTCAAGATAGCTGGTTGGAGATGTTCAATATTTAAGGCCTTAAGTAAATATCCAAGTCAAGTAAGTTCGCAACAGAGGTTTGCCATTGCTTTGTATTCAACTTCTGCTGAAGATCTAGACACCACATGTTGTTTCTTTGATTTCCATGATATTAAGGCTTCCCCAATGAACACACAATCACCAGTTACTGATCTTTTGGTGTCTATACATGCTCCTCAATCTGAATCAAAGTAACCCTCTAGTTGTAATTTTTATTTTGTAGGATAGAGGAGTCCTTGTCGAGGTGCTCTTTTGATGTATCTTAACACCTTATGAACAGCATGTAAATGTGAAATTCTAGGATTTCCCATAAATTGATTTAATAACTGAACCGAATATGCAAGGCCAGGACTATTGATGGTCAAGTATAGCAGCCTTCCTACTAATCTTCTGTAAAGTGACGGATCAGGCAATAGTTCTCCTTCATCTTTGCTGAGTTTCATATTCTGATCAAAGGGGATCCTAGCAAGGGCTGAACCAATGGTCCCTGAATCTGCTAGGATGTCCAAAGCATACTTCCTTTGGCATATGTGAATTCCATCTTTTGGCCTTGCTACTTCAATGCCTAGAAACTACTTCAATTTTCTTAGATCTTTGATTTTGAATTTCTCATTAAGGGAGACTTTGTATTGATGGAGTCTATGCAATTACTAGCAACTATTATATCATCCACATATACTAGAATGACAATGAAATTACTATCAGTTAGCCTAGGAAACAGATTATAATCTGCCTTTGAATGGGTATATCCTTACTCAACAATGAAGCTAGAGAATAACATTGGCGTGAAGCTTACTTTAATCCATACAAACTCTTGCGTAACTTGCACACCTTATTTCCACTGCCATTGAGACAACCAGGAAGCATTTCCATGTAAACATCTTCATCCAAGTCTCAATGCAAAAATGCATCATTTACATCAAATTGGTGCAAACTCCATCTCTTGATTGCTGCTACTGCCAGTAAGGTTCTTATGGTGGTTAATTTTGTCACAGGGGAAAAGGGTTCGTGATAGTCAAGTCCCTCATGTTGAGTGTATCCCTTTGCCACCAGACGCGCCTTATATCTTTCAATACTTCCATCAGCATTAAACTTCACGTTATATACCCATTTACATCCTATAGCCTCTTTATCAGACGATAGATTGGTTAGTACGTATTATTGTGCTCAAGAGCCTCAATCTCAGCTCTCATGGCAGCACGCCATTTAGGAGAAGTGATGACTTCTTGGTAAGTTTTAGGCTCAGAATGATTGGTTATTGAAATTGCAAAAATACGATGAGGTGTGGATAACTTGTCATAGGAAATACTATTTTTAAGAAGGAAAATACTACATGTTATACCATCTCCTTTCTTGCTGTTGAACTTCTGAAATGGGAAAGGTGAAGAGGTATGTTGGCACATGAAGTCTTCCAAGTGAGGAGAAGCCTTGCGAATTCTGCTTGACCTACGAGGCAGGTGACTTATAATGGGAAGATTTGATTCCAAAATATCAGTGATAGGTTCAGGAATGTCATTATTGGTGTCTTCATAGAGATTGAGAGATTGAGTATATGGTGAATCATTTTGAGTGTTATGTTCAGCATGCTGAACATTATCAGGAACAAAGTTTATAGGATGTTGAGTATTATTAAAGATTGAGATTATATAATCATTCGAGATAATAGGATTTTGTGTGAAACTTAGATGACTGAAATCAGTTGAGGGAGTAGAGCTGTTGGATTTGACATTTTTGAATGGAAAAATATTCTCATGGAAAATTACATTTCTTGAAACAAAGATTTTCTTGGTTCTTAAATCTAGTAACATGTAACCTTTTACTCCAAAAGGATATCCAATGAAGACAGATTCCGCAGACTTAGGATCAAACTTGTGTCTTCCACTAACAAGGGTGGTGGCAAAAGCTAGGCATCCAAAGACTCTTAAGTGACTATAATTTGGCCTAATCTGAAACATAATTTCAAAAGGAGTCTTGTGATCTAAATTAGGTGTTAGTGTTCTACTTATGAGTTACACGGCTCTCAAAACAAAATCAATCCAGTATTTTAAAGGAAGACCACTTTAAAACCTCAAGACCCTTGCCACATTCAAGATGTGTTGGTGTTTTCTTTCTACCACAGCGTTTTGTTCCGGTGTTTCAACACAAGTTCTTTGGTGCACTATGCCTCTTTTTAAGTAAAAAATTGTCATGTTAAATTCTTCTCCATTGTTTGTTCTGATGGTTTTGATTCTTGCTTTAAATTGAGTTTCAACCGTAGTACAAAAATTTTGTAGAGCTGTGGTAGCTTCAGATTTAAAGCTTAGCATATAGATCGATGTGCATCTACTAAAATTATCAACAATAGAGAAAATAATTAGAACTATCCCTACTGATTTCATTACAAGGTCCCCAAATGTCACAATGGATCAATTCAAAACATTCTCCTGTCATATGATGACTATTACTAAATGGCAGTTTATGTTGTTTTGCTAATAGACAAATAGGACATTGATTGATACTAGATGATGCAAGAATGTGAACATTTCTGTGAGGACTGAAGTTAGGATAAGAAAAATGACCTAATCTGTAGTGCCACAGATCAGATTCCTTATGATTTTTAGCAACAGATGTAGATGAAGATGATAGGCATTTGAACTGTTTGAAGACTTCTGACAAGGTTGAAGAAGGAACTGATTTGCTCACCATGTGGTACAGTCCATCTTTTACCTCACCCATTCCAATCGTTCTCCAAGTCGAAAGGTCCTGGGTATAACAGTAATTAGGAAGAAAAATAAGACAACAATTTAGAGATTGAGCTAGTTTTCTTGCTGAAATCAAATTAAAAGTGAAGCTAGGAATGCAAAGTTATAGATTCTGAGATTTTGACAGTTCCCACATGTGTGACTGGAACCTTTTCTCCGTTTGGCAAAGCTACAGAGTAAGCTACTTTAGCTTGAATAGATGTAAAAAGGGAGATAGAACAAATCATATGATCTGTTGCTCTAGTGTTTAGGATCCATTGGTTTCATGATTGTGATGGAATGCAGTCAGACTTAGTGATATACCATATAATTTATGATTGAACTCATCTGATGGTGGGAGTTGACAATTGTTTGAGTATTGTTGGACGAGGAAGCTAGGTGTTGAGAGTTTGCTGTTGGTTTGAAAAGTGCCATCAGCTGCGAATACTGCTCTTGACTCAATGATACTTGACATTTGTCCTTCAATATCTCCTGATTAAGTGCTGAACTTGTAGAAACCATGTAAGCAGCTGATTTTCCCTTGTCACTGAACTTGTGCCCTGATGGAAAACCATGAAGCTTGTAACATTTATCCACTGAATGTACTGGCATTTGACAGTGAGTGCATAATGGTCTTTTTGGATTTTCCTTGAAGCGCCTATCAAAGGAGTAACCTACAACCTTGCAATGAGTGCAATAATATCTGACTCTTTTCTGTTATGAGAAATTCTGGTTTCCTCCATCTCTAAAGTTTCTCCTGCTTAGGAAAGCCATAGGATCTGAGCTTACAGGACTTGGATTAGATATTTCTCGTCTCTTCTCTTCTTGTTGGATCAAAGAGTACACCTCATTCAGGCTGGGAAATGATTTAATCAGCATAATTTAAGCCTAAATCTCCATGTAATTCTCATTCAGCCCCATTAAAAACTTCATAACCCAGTCCCTTTGTTGGTTCTGAATTACTGTTTTTAAACCACCACAAGTGCAACTGGGAATAATTTCGTAATTCAATAGCTAGTCCAATATAATTTTGAGCTTGGAGTAGTAAGTGCTCACAGAATCTTGGTTCTGCATCAAGACGGTGATATCCTTCTTAATTTCGAATATGCGTGGAGCATTTTGTTAAGAGAATCCCTGTTCTACATCCAGCTAAAGGAGGTGAGCTGTCTCTGCATATATCATGCTGCTCTTGATGTCGATTTCCATGGCATTCTTCATCCATGTTATGACTATATCATTGCATCAATGTTCCATCAATGGATCATTGGGGTCCTTTGGTTCACATAGAGTTCCATCAATAAATCTTAGTTTATTTTTGATATTTAATGCTCTCCTTATAGACTGAGCCCAGGAGTAATAATTGCTGAAGTCCAGAACATGAGTAACCAGCATAAGTGTTCCTCCATCATTGCTGCCAATGTAGTAGGGACTTCTTGGATGAGTGGGATCATGAAGAACAATGCTCGACTTCCTTTCATTAGTTTGTTGTGGATTTTGAGTACGGTTTGAATTGATGTTTGCATCTGTGGGAGTATTTGATTCATCCATTTTTTGATTCATCCATTTCATTATCTGATACCATATTAGATTTGTAATGACAAGATTCTGATATTGAGCAATTGAGATGAGGCTGAAAATATATTCATTCAACTGTATCAAAATGTATAGTGAAGGTTCTATAAATACAGAGAAATGGAATCATTTTCTAACTAACTTCCTAACTAATTTACATGAAGAATAAATGCAAAACTGATTCAATACAACTATGCAAAACCAATCCCACTAATTCTCTTCTAGATCCTTCTTCTGTAGCTGCTCTGTCATTGGTTCTCGTTGGCTTCCTTGATGCTGGTAGTCCTCCAACTCGTTCAGCTGATGCACACATGGTAGCTTCAATAAGCTATCATGACTCAAAGAACTTTGATTGCAAGAATGAAGTCAGGTATGTAGGAGAAGAGCACAAGCCTTCAACATCGGCATTTCAGCTACGAAAGAGCTAGACGGGGACACCCGAAGCACTTGAACCTGATAGAAATTCAAAGCCTGATGAGGGTAAGACTGGTGATTTTGAGGATCTGGAAATGTTGATGTCTAAGATTGGGAACATGCGTAGCAGTTTGATGTTAATGCCCGATTTCCAAAGGAAGGAAATCACTGTAAAACTGGCCATGAAAATGGTTGTAATGTTTGGAGATGGCAATGGAGGTGAAGAGGGATTTGATTGATAAGAGGAAATTGTAAGATGAGCTTTGCTATCAACTTCAAGGAGAGTACAATACGATCAGCTTGGATATGTAATTGAGGTGAACTAGACAACCTCAATTTTCTGAGTTTTGCTACAGTGACATCTTGGTTGATAATTTTGTCGACATTTCGTTATGTGATAGACAATCTGACAATGATATGTCAATGGCTAAATTGTCCGTCACATCATATTGCCATTGCCATCGTCGGTGACTGTGTCATCACCTTTTAATTAGGGTACGGGAGATAGAGCGTGGAGAGAGATGAGAGGGAGAGTAAAGGGAGAAAGTGTACGTATACTTAATTTTTGATTGATTATAAATAATATATCTATTTAATAAATATTAAATAATTAATTATAACTTGAATTATTAAAGATAAAACTCAAAATCTTATTTATGAAATGCAAACTTGAAAAACAGCCCTATGTATAATTTCCCCTTCTATTTTTGCTTCTACTTTTTGTAGAATGACTTTCTGAAAAGTTATCTTAGGTCAATTTTTTATAATCAGGCAAAACACTTTTAAAAATTGTTCAAATATATTCAAAATCATTTTTTTAGACTCAAAAGTACTTTTGAACTTTTTAAAAGCCGCGTCAAATGGACTACCCAAAGTAGTAACGATAAAAATGTTATGTAAGTGTATTTTCTCTATTTGTTTCCATAGCTGTAAACCAAGTTTGAGGCCACTTGTATTGGAGCGTATGAGATTAAAGTAATAAGGACGTGTTTAGTGCTTTAGAACGAACAAAATTTATTGGCACACTAAAGCACAGGTATGAAACTGTAGTGACTTCTCCTTGAAAGCAAAGTGCATTAGAACGAACAAAATTATTGGCACGCTATAGCACAGGTATGAAAATGTAGTGCCTTCACCTTGAAAGCACACTTCTTGGACATTAAACATGGGCTTCACATGAAATCGATGCGTACAAGCAAGAAATTGGTGAATGGGGACACAAATTCCGTTAAATGGTGATGCAGGTTTAGATAAGATAATTACAAGACCTGTATGCACATACCTTCACAATGACACTAACATAACACGCTGTTTGGACTAATTTATGAAAAAAGACAATCAACTTAATGTCAATGATGTTTGATTATAACATTAGATTCTTAGGATTTCATCCCTTATCCAAAGAGAGCTCAAACTCAATCCACTGACGGGAAAGTTCCGCTTTTACCATTTGAGCTAGACCTTGACCTTTTTCTAAAACTTAGTTTTATTTTTAAGTAAACATAACTAGTAATAATTCATTCTATTAATCACTCATCAATTATAATCTCTACGAAGAATTTTACATCTGTCAAAAGGATTATGTTGAACTGGCAGAATTATATATGTTATTATTCCACTTGTTTAATAAAAACAACTGTGTGAATTTAAATATGAGAGTATTGAAGAATTCAATAAGAGATCATTGTAGCATGTGCTGGACTCAATTCTTGGTCACATACATGTAATTTTCGTGGTAACAAAATTAAAATATGAGTTATTTGCATGTTCTCTAAAACTATAGTTAATGGCCCATCTGAAGTTCAAGCTGTTAAAAATAAGAAACATTTATGTAATTAAACGTTATCTTTAACAATAAAAGTCGTTTATGAGTATATATTATTTACAAGGTAACAATTTGAGAAAAAAGAACGATTTGTTAGATTGAATATATATCCAACAATTTAATTCAGTTGTCCAAGTCAAGACAATTATTTCCAGACAAACTTAGAAAACATTTCCAATCAAAGAATAAGGTCCAACTGCATGTACCAACCTATCACTAGAACAACTACATAAACCATGTCATGAGGAGAGAAAAAAGCAAGAACAAGCTATAACTCACAATAATAACCAAGCAAAAATGAGGTCCCTCTTCATCTTCTCCATTTTTCCTGTGCTGTTCCTTACCTTCTCGATTACGTCCCAGAGCGCGATGGTCCAGAACTTAGTTACTGAAACTTGCAAAACTTTCGCACAAAATGATCCAAACATCGACTACAATTTCTGCACAACTTCCCTTCAGGCAGATCCAGCCAGCCAAAATGCCACTTTACAAGAACTAGGGATGATTTCAATCAGATTAATAAACTGCAATGTGACAGATACGCAGTTTTACATCAAGAATTTGATCAAGAACAAGAAATGGGGTTCATATACAAAGCAATGTTTGAGAGATTGCTTCGAACTTTACTCAGATGCAATCCCTTCTGCTAAAGAGGCCATGAAATATTACAGTAAAAACCTCTACAGTGATGCTAATATACAGTTAAGCTCAATACTGGATGATGCCACGACGTGCGAGGACGGATTTAAGGAGAAAAAAGGAGTTGTTTCTCCACTGACAAAGAGAAATGGTGATACTTTTCAGCTCTCTGCAATAGCACTCTCTGCTGTGAATATGCTTCAGACAGGATCAAACTGATCCATGAAGTTGTTCAGTTCATCAGATTTTGATGATCATTTTCAGGTTTAATGTATAATTATTATGAACATGAAAATTTATCTATTGACAGCATATGAATGAAGTGTATCTGGTGATATAAGTTGTAAGAATCTTTGCTGATTGAGAAACCTTCGGAATCTGGAAATTGTAAATATGTAATCGATACAAGTGTTTGCAACAGTTCAATATATTTTTTTCAGAAGCAATTTCAATAGGAGAATTAATTGTGCTTTGCCTTAATACATTTTAAAATTAATTAAACACTGAGCACACTGTAAGATTTTAAATTGAGTTCTATTTTTGCGCGACAAAACACTTGCACAAATGCTGTCGACAAAACAATTACACAAGCATAGTGGACAAGAGAAAGATGTTCATATCAGGGCCAAAGAATAAAGTTAGATTTCAAGAGGTGTTAATGTGTTATGCAGTCTTTCACAAAATGTCATTTGATGTACCACTTAAGGCATGTAGTTTAGACATCACTTTGCAAGGATCCAATGAAGCACAACCCTTATTATTTACTTAATCGTGCCTTGCATTCGTGAAAAGTAAGTCTAAGAATGCTGGAAGAAATTTTGTTCAATTATTAAGAAGAGATCAGAACTTGGACAGAAAAAATTCCACGTAACCTAACCAGCCATTGGATGGTTGTCGATATACTCGACTGCAAGATGGCAGGAGTCGATTTTATCAGCTTCCTTGTCAGGGATTTCGAGCTTAAACTCGTCCTCAAGAGCCATCACAATCTCCACATTGTCCAAGCTATCCAATCCAAGATCCTTTTGAAAATGAACATCAGGAGTCACCTGCAGACAATTAAATTGCATGGAGAAAAGTAAATATATGTTGTTCATGGCTGGCTGGTACTAGATGATTAGAATGATAAATATGAAATGCATAACTTACATCTAACCTAAACTGCGGTTTTCATAATTAAACACAGATAACACAACTGGAAGGCAGATATAGAATGAGAACTGTATGCACAAGCTAAAAATCACGCTAGGTTCTATAATGAAATTGTTATCTTAAGGCGTTGGTTCTCCTATAAAAAAATAGGGAGATCTAGTTAAAAAAAACAATGTGGTTACTTTCGTGTTCCCTTTTCTTCCATTCCCCTTTCTAGGGGTACAATGCTGACTAACATCACAAAAAACACTGCAGAACAAAAAAATAATCCCAATAATCCTTGTTGTAACTAAGTAATTAATAATAGAACACCTGTCGCTAGCAACAGATGATACGATACTATGAAATTATTGAAGTTGATGGGAGTCGTGCATTCCTAGACTCTATAATCTTATGAAAGTCAAGATCTTCTTTTGAATCATAATAGTAAAATAAAAAATGCTCAGAGCTCCACTTAAGGCCCATTTCTCTTTTTAGCCCCCGTTGACAACCATTATTTGGGAAAAACAATGTTTTGAACAGTGATTTTTAGAAGAATGTGTAGTTATAAAGCAGGAAAAAGTTTTGAGTTTACGTGCAAAATATTTTATTGTGTATGTGATTGAAAATAAGTACGTAAAAAAAAGAGTTTTCAAATAATAGTTGTCAAATATATGGCATCTCTTCAACTCTTACCACAAAAATTGCGTCAAATTGAACAGAGCCATCTCTTAACAAGAGGGAATATTTTTCTTTTTTATAAATCTTTGTTAATATACGTGCAAAAAAGTGCATCTAAATTGCATACAGTAGAAGTGATAGAGGCAGGTCACTGAGGAGCAGCTACGGCTGGGCCTGAGAAAAAATTTGAAAATCTTGACTCTTCCACTGATAACTGAGTTAATAAGATAAATTGCACTCATACAATACCATAATACATTACATCCCTGCACGTACAACAGGGAAAAATAAGACCAACTGAAAGATGAGATTGAATAAACATGAAATTTTTTAGATGATCCATTAAAACATTGGCTGGGGTTGTTCTTCACGAGTTTCAGGTTAAAAACTGGA